TTGGAACCATCATCTGTTTTCTCTTCGGTAACCTTCGCTCACGCTCTCGGTTGATTTTTCTGTAGTCGGCGCACTCATTTCCTCCATTACCCGGGCGGCTGGCTGCGTCCCAAACAAATACACATGTGCGGCTTGGCACTTGTGCTGTACGTAACAAGTCACGTGACGTGACACTGCGGCTGTGATTGGTTCGGCTCTGCGCTACTTAATTTGGATTGGCTGTTGTTGTTTTTGTTTTTTTTTTAAAGAGGACAGGAGAGACTAGGTCTATCGCAATAGTTTAACTTTTCTATCGAGGAAAAGTTATTTCGCAACACATATCGTTATCGTTCTATCACCCAGCTCTATCCGATACTTTAAGTTCAGCCTCAGGCTATTTAAGGTCCCCCATCAGCCCACGCTGACTCTGATTGGACAGCTCCAAAACCAAACCACAGTAATCAGATTCAACTGTTTTCCTGTATTTTCTTTTTAAATACGCGTTCAAGCCTTTCGATCCCAAATAAGCGAGCATCAACGACCCACTGACGAGGCTTTCCACTAAACAAATGGGCACACATGAATGACACGATTTTGCTGAAATGTTTACCTTCGTTTCTCATTGCAGTGACGTAGCTAAACCATTCTTTGACAGTAGCAACACCATGTGGAGGGTTTTCATGTCGCCGTCGTGTGATTTTGGTTATGGTGGCCATTGGGCTTTCGAGAGCACCACACGGCTTCGTGACCATCGTGTTGTGGCCGAGATGGAAATCCAGTGTCTGCACGATGTAGGTAGAGTCGTCTTTTGAGCCTGTGTGTAACAGAAACAATTCATAAAGAGATGCACCTTTATATATTTAGTTTTGATCTGTTCATCAGGACTGAGCATCATCTCGACTGAATAATATTAATATTCACGAGTCCCTAAAAAGAACATTTAGTCTCACCATCCTCCCAGATTTTCTGTGCCTCTGTCCAGAAGGCGATGTTGGGCTCTTCCAGGTGGAACAAGGCCCACGACTTGGAGCGGAAGTTTGGCCCGTGGAAGCAGGCCAGAGTCATGTGATTGCCATGGAGGCTCATCGACCCGCCAAGCTGCACGGCATCCTCAGGCAAGGGCGTCTGGAAGAGGGAGATGTGGCAGCCGGCGATTACCTTCAGCACCCCGGGCCAGTGGCGGTGATGGGCCGCGTCCATGTCTGCGTGACAAAGACAGTTAGGAGGGAAAATGAGAAGCAGGCGGACAAATGAATTCTGACTGGAACACGAGGCTTGTTGCTGCCGCTAACAGGATCAGATTTAGTGTGTCATGTTGTTTTTGTCCTTATAAAGCCCTCAATCTTTAAAATGTATGCTGCCTGTTTCGTTACTGATTATCTCATGAGCGAGGCTGATTACATTCAGTTGCTAAACAACCTTTTCAACTATTTGAAAAAGTTGTTTACAAATTAAGCTTATTAGAATTACAAATCATTTCACTTCCTGCAAGCAGCACAGCCGCCTAAGACGCTTGCTGTGCGCGCCTTATTATGCTACAGACTGTGCTCAACATTCACCCAGCAGTATGGAACGAGGCATGCTTACAAAGCTCTGCAGCTCCTTTGTCAGTGTTGACGACGGGGGTTTTGGGGGGCAGGTAGGGGCCAGGGCCCCAGGTGGAGAGGGCCCGCTTGCTGGTGTCGAATTGCTGAGTGAAAAACTCCTGCAGCTTCATGCCGATCTTGATGAGGTCTGGTGTGGTGGACCGTGAAATGATCACCTGGAAAATGTCCCACTGCAGGTCTCCGTGGATGAAGATCTCACTGGAAGGAGAAAAGATGGGGAGGGAAACGGAGCAGATGAGTGAAAAAGGTTGTTGCAAGAAACAAAGGAAAGGAGAGCAGGCATAAATGGCTCACAGATGAAAGAAAATGGCATATATTCTCGACATAATGTCGTGTAATTTGTGTATTCTTGTGTTCAAACTAGATACAAACACAAACCCCCGAGTCCAGACATAATTTTGTTCGGCTTGCTGAGCATTCGGAAACGTGGGCAATAAATGTCAGCAAATTGTCTGTTTTTCTTCATAACCCGCGATGCTTTGAAATTGTGCTCTCTAGTTAGTGTGCTTTGTGTTTCAACACTTCAGAAACTGAATACAAACCTCTTTGTAGAGAAAACATCTGCATTTCAAAGTACAGAGACATGGAGACGTGAAGCAGGCTAATCTCTGATGGCCACAAGAATGAAATGAATAAATGGCACTAAACATGACTCATCTAAAAGTGCTGTATTGATCGTGTTGTGCCGAACAGTGCAGTCACGCTGACATCATACCACACCTTTTCTCTGATAGGCTGGTGTCCACTGTACACAGGTTGACCTTCCATTCATCCTGCAGCTGCAGGTCAGCATTACTAAACACTCCCATTAGGATGCTGGAGCCCATGTAGTCCACTCGCGCCTCTGTGGAGCCCATGGTAATCTGGATCTTGTGGCTGGGCTGCTGGTTTGGATGCTCTGAGATGTGGGCTGCAAACCACACGATAGTAGTTACCAATGAGAGCGCACAAGCAATCCCATACCTCTCAACATCAAAATCAGTAAGTAAGGACTGACTTCTTCTTCTTCTAGTTTACCTGTTTATTGCTGCTGGACCACAACAGCAACGGGGCAACCATACATAGCAGAACTCACACTACACATGGCTGCTTTGTATGGTGTCTGAGCATGATTGCCCTCCTCCACAGCCCTGAAAGCTTAAATTCACAGCTCCACAACCAACAAGGCATATCATCTAAAAATGGTGCTAACCTGTGTTAAGATATTCAACTGGCATTCATGAAAACGCTTTAGGCTTTTGGTAGGTACAAACCACAACTGGTACATGTCAATATGTTTGGTCTAATAATAGTTTTATAAAGTCACACACATACAGCCACAGCTTCATGGCTTCAGTGTCTTTAAATACATGCTGAGACTGACTGTGAAGCCTCCTCTCAGATAAAAATGGCTCAGCACCTTGTTCTTATGTTTTTAGTCTAAAATACCAAAGTTAAAATGATTCATTTTGCTGTAAAAATTCGCTTTTGTGTCTATTTATAAACTATTGAAGGTGAACAGGCGAGAAGGTGACGTGTGCTTCACACACACTGTGGCAGATTTAGTTCATCTAGAGAGGACACTGAGTAGGGACGATTTCAGGCAGCAAGTACTTTCTTTAGCTGACTGCATCTCAAGCAGAAGCATCAGTGATCAGTGCTTAGATATTAAACTCAATGAACAAAGATCTAATATGCAATCACTGATCACTTCATTAGTTACACTTTGCTAGGACTATGTTGGACCCTCAGAGATTTTGGTCCATACTGACATGATGGGCTCATACAGCTGCTTCAGATTTGTCATCTTTACATCCATGATTTCAGTCTCTACATCCCAAAGGTGTTCCAGTTTAGAGTTCAACAAATTTATTGTCAAGTTTAAGAACGAGCTAGAGCTGCATTTTATAACATTTTGTAATATTCTGCTGCATATAGCCATCAGAATATGGGCACAGTGTGGTCACTCAGGCAGGCTGTGTCATTGAAATGGTGCTTTGTCTGTATTAAGGGGTCCATGGCGTGCCAACAAAATATCCTGCACATCATTACACCAGCAGCCACAACTGTTGTTTTTAAAGTGGTCGTTTTATGATTTTATCCCAAAAATCGAGACTGGTCACACCAGGCAACATTTTCCCAATCGTCTATTGTGCAAAAGTGAATTTTAGTCTCAGTTTATCGTCCTTTCGGAAAGAAGTCGCAGTCTTCTGCTGCTGTACTCCATGCGCTTTAAGAATATATGCTCATCTGCACATTTTGATGTTTTAACAAAGCTTATTTGAGATACTGTTGCCTTCCTGTCAGTTTGAAACAGTCTGACTATTCTCCTCTGACCTGTTGAAAGAAAAGTTCATCATTCGATATTTTCTCCTTTTTTCAGACCAGCCTTTCTAAACTTCTAAAACACAGTTGTTTAGGAAAATCCCAGCAGATCAGCCTTTTCTGAAATACTCACACCAGGCCGTCTGACACCAACAGCCATGCTCCAGCCACCATCAAAGTCACTTAAATCCCCTTTTTATCCTCATTGTGATGTTCAGGTTTAACTTCAGCAGGTTGCCTTAACTATGTCTGCATGCCTAAATGCACTGAGTTGCTTCCAGCTTCCAAGTGGCTGCTGTATCTATATATTAGCCTATTTAAACATTAAATGTAATATATAACATAAAATGCATTTTATGCCTATTTAGCAGAGTAAACATTTTTGTATGTGCATAATATTACATTACTGCTCCCAGTGTTTTAAGAACTCTAGCACTGAACTTTGGCTCAGCTCCACATCCACACTTTACACTCTGTTAGAATAAAAGCTGCTAACGAGTTGGAGAAAAACACCAGATGTCGGAAAAGCTGATGCCTTGTTTACTTACAGACCATCTCCAGGGTGTTCACGTCTATATTGCCACCCACCACCCCGCCCTTGGAGTCGAGCTTGGATCGGCCGAGGCCAACAGACATGCTGATCTCTCGGTCTCGGTTGCTTCCGACAGAAAGTCGGCCCTGACTTTTCAGCCCGCTGGTCGTCCAGCTGCAGGGACAAACAACTGTGAGCGCTCCTGAAATGCTGCTGAATAATGTAGAAGGCTTCTGTATGAAACATAAATGACTCATCACAAGAAGTTTCCAAGGAATAAACACAGGTAACAGAGGAAGAAACGAACAGCCAGTTCTGAGCGCTAAACCCATTTTCACAAGTCAACATGTCAACTGTGTTTTCTAACGTGTCGTTGTGCGTTTCACCTTCATCAGTTTGATGTGTTATTGCCTTTTTGCTTATATCCAAGTGCAGCTATTTTGACAATACAATTCTCGCTTTAAATCCAGGCTGCACCCTTGCATAAAAGTTTTTATGAAGGAAGAATATCCTGAGCTCATAAATGATTTAATTAGAGCTGGAGAAGTGTACCGTCTTGCCTTGGTGAGAAAGAAGCAGAAGGTGTGTGTTGTTTGTGGAGCCCACACACTTCCACTGTGGAAGAGGGTTATTTTTTAACTTTATGGAGACCCAGAGCTCATAAAACAGTACAGCCTTAGTTATGAGGGTGCTGTGTTTGCCACCGCTTCAGCATCATTTTCTGCACTTCAGCCTCAACCGTAGAGATCAGGGGTGTACTGACACCATATTGTGGTGAACGGTAAAATCCAGCAGTGCAGTAGAGTTAAACTGAACCCATAAGAGTGGACGATAAAGGGTGATAAGAAGTGCAGGAGAAGCACCCCAGAGGCATCTGTACACCAGTTTAACAGCTGTTTACTGCAGTAAAAAGGTAAATAAACAATGTTGGCTATGTTTTATTTAGACAGTAACATTCTTAAGTTAAATTTATAACTTTAGTTTTGCTTTTAGAGCTACAATGCATGATGAAGAGTGTTTTCCAGTCAGTAATTTACTGTTCAAGCGTGGAATCTTTCACTTAAGTCATTATCTTACACTAGCAAAAATTGCTACAATTAGATCAGCATGCGAGCAAAAAACTTAAGGATTCAGACCAATCTATAAGAGAGCTTCCAATAGCTTTTCTCCTCTTGGATCTTAATGATACCATAATAGGAAAGGATAATATAATGTGGACATCTCAGGCTCTCAGGAGGGAACTAAATCAGCTGGTTTCAAACCACATATGAACTGAGGGACTGCAACAGGGCCGGGTATAAGATAACTAAGGATTATATTGAAAGCAACTTTAAGTGTAAGGCTGGTTTCAATGATTGCATCACCTGTTAGGATACTAAAGAAAATACAGACCCTTGTAGTTGTAAACAGGCCTGATTTTGTCTGATGTGTGGCTGTGAAAACGCCTGGCTTTTCTGAGGCACTTATATGTTGTTGGCAATTGATTCTTGTTGAGATGAGATGAGAGTCTGTTGTAGCCATCGACAAGCGTTAAAGTGGGGCAGCCAAAAAATATACTTTGATTGAAAATCATGAGATACTTTCAGATGAAAGATTTTTATCTCTCATCCATTTAATTAGTGTTTTTCTTCCTTTAGTGCATAATCCCCCTGCTAATTCATTTTTAATGATATTTTGTGTTTGTTTTCCTAAAGTTTCTTTTATGTTCTTTTGATTTTAATGTTTTTTTTTCATGATTTGTGAAACTGGACAAGTGTGGCCAAGATATTCTATAAATGAAAATATAGTCAATAATTTTAAATCGCTTCTGTGTTTGAATTACCAGAGTAACCATTAAATCCTAATTATTAGCACGTGTTTGCACAGCGGTGGGTGCACTTACGTATTGTTTCCCATCACGTTGCTCATGTTCATTTGGACGGTGAGCAGCTTTAGGTTGATGGCAAACACCACCAGCGTCTCCCACGGCGACCCCTGCTGACCTGCTGCCTTCCCATTTTTACCAAATGAAGGAGTCGATGTTTTTGTGACTGAATCTAAAAAACAATGAAAAAAAGTAGGAAAAAATTAATTGCAGTTATTTTTTCTTCCTTATCTGGATTTTTGGGTGTGAAGATTCGTACTCTGGTAACAAAAGGCATTTAATGTTCCCCGTTACCTCTCCTTGGAGCGGAGGAGTCAGAGACGCTCCTGGTGCGACCAGGTGCAGGGGACTTGAGGTGCCCCAGGCTGCCTGGGGACATGTTGCTTCCGGTGGAGTGCTCCGAAAAGACATTGGGGGACTGGGGCACGTGCTGCGTCCCGGTGCTGCCATCCCACGTCCTCCAGTAAGCTTTCCGGCTGGACTCGGGGGACAGGTGATGGGTGACGTTTTCAGCTGAGTCAGGAGTGGCGGGGCCGGAAGCTGGAGCGAAGTAAAGGTTCGAAGAGGTAAGTAAAGGACACCTTTGTAAATGTCAACGTAAAGTGACTGCAGGAAATGTTTGCTAAAGGACTGCCAGTGAGACAGGATATTAAAAATGAAAAAAGGCTAAATGCACAGAGGTTAGCAGGTGGATGTTGGTGCTCATATCAGAATTTTTGAGGAGAAATGTTCACTCATTTCTGCACCGAGTTAAAGATTTTGTTTTTAGAAACCCATCTGAGAGGCAGTGCAGAGATTTATATAGAAGCCAACAATATCTCGCTTTAGTAAAAGCACATCAGTTTGTTGATCATTTCAAATAAAGATCAGCACTGACAGAAGCCTGGAAAAGCTCACTGTTCCCTGTGTCAGATGCCACATAAAAGCTGAAATTCTACAACAACTTAAAAGCCGGCAACGTAAACAACACACGGCCATCACAACACCCGAGTGCAACCGCTGAGCACTCACGTGGGAGGTTGATGGTTTGGTCCCCCAGGAAGAGGCGTCTGGCGATACTTCGACGATACCAGGCTCTCGGGAAGGCCAGGATCTCGCTCAGTCTTCTCATGTCGTACTTGAAGGAAGCCGAGCCGATGTCACACACAGCTGACGGAAGAATATCACATTAGTGAGCATGTGAAAGACTTCTTTATAAGACTGCACAGGATAAGGCCACAGTTCTAAAAGCTACAGGGGGAAAAGTATGCACTTACTCTCACAGATTGGAAAGACGTATTCTTCAGTCTCATTTATGTGCTTGTAAAATGTCCCATTCAGCAGCTCAAGCACTCACTGTGAGATGCCTATTTCAAACCCTGCGTTAGAGCTCTTGATGTTCCCACTCTCTTTTTACAGTGTGGCTAACCATTTTGGAGTGTTTCTTTTTGAACACGCAGGCTCTCCAGGATCGGTGCCTACACTCACCATACATCCTGCCTTTCTGCTGCTTCTGGCCCGCCTCTGAATGACTGGACTGGTGCCCAGGCCTGTGCACCAGCCCTTCCAACACCTGCTCTGAAAAGTGGCTGTGATCTGTCAGTCAGGGAGGCTGATTTGGTATGAGCAGCTCGTCATTGTCTCTCTTTTTATTAACTTGCTTGTCAGCGGTTTGTGCTTCCAGATGCTCATTTTCTCTTTACTAGTTTGCAGACACCTTATCGTGCATACCTGCAGCTGCATGTTGCAAAGGTTGTGCACTGGAGACCGGACAGGGTTTGTTGAATAACTTTATTGTAAAGTGACACTCGGGTTTTAAGGTTGCTTGTTCTAACTGTTTGGGTTTAATCTGGCTGTTTAATGGCGTAAAGCTCTTTCGCTATTTTTCCAATTTTCTTTTTAATCAGTTGGTAAATTTTAAATGGAATTCAAGTTCGGAGCCCTTTATTTCTTTGTTCTGACGAGCACCATTTGCCCATGGCTCTTTCACTACTTCTTTTGTTACTTTGTGCTTTGCTTGGCTTCACTGTTTGTATTCATCACTTTCATAAAAAGATAACATTTTTGCCTTCAGCCGTTTCCATCTGGTTGTTTGTGTTACTGCAGTTACCCCCCGATGAGCTGGGGTCACAACAGCCTGCTTCTGTGCTGGAGTACATTCCCACGGTGCTGCTGATATGATTGAGTACTCAACACAGAGTTTCATATCCCTTAAAGATGATTCTCTGAAAGGGTTCGCATCTGTTGTACGTCACTTCCACTTCATATACTCTGGCTGTATTTCTGACTGCTTTACAGAGAGAAAGAAAGGGGCAAGCTTCTCGATTCCCACTTTTAGTGAACATGAAATATTTAGCACTATGCAGGAGTTCCAAAAAAACACAACGTTGTGAAAGTTCCTGCTGAGCTGGGACAACTTTGAGACAGTTCACAGAAAGGATGGCCAACAAAAACACTGAGTCCCAGTCTTGTTAAGCACATCTGCCCAGGACTCCTCAGGCTGTGCGTGCTGACACATGCAACCGGATTTATTCCAGTTAACTAAAATTCTTTGCCTTACCCCTATTTTCAGAATTTAATTTAGGTTTAGTTAACCCTTCTAAAAAACTGCAGCTGCTTACCAAATGTCACCCCCAACTGCATGATTGATGTTTTACCTTAAAAGCAATTTAAGTGATGCACTTAAAAGCTGATTTATGGTCCGCGTCAGGGTTCATTTCCCTACCACTCTCCCTGTGCACAGAGAAGGATTGTGGGAATTTTAACCAGCGGATTAGCAACACTGACTCGCTTGTGCGTCATCCTCTAACAAGCCAACACTGTGACGTAGAAGAAAAGGTGATGGGCTGAAAATCGGGGCTTAAAAAGTAACAAAAAAAAAAAAGAAGAAGCACTGATGAAAAGCAGAGTGCAAAGAGTGAATCGTTTTTAAACACACAGCAAAACCAGTTCTATATATACACCATAACTAAGCTAAAGGACTGACAACAGCACAAACCTCAGCTTTAGCAGTGTTCAGTTCCAGTAGTTCAACATACAGTATATTTGACAGTCCCCCCACGTTAGCAGACGACAGATACAACATGAAGATATGGATCTTCAAAGCTCTGCGTGGTTCAGTATCAAAGCAGAATCAACACAGCACCATGCTGGAGCAAAGTCCTTCAAGCAGCAGGCCTCACGACTCAGCAGCCATCTTAAAATGGCTCAGTGTATTTATGTGGGCAGTCATGAGAACATAAAAACGCTGAAAATAATCAGAAGTCAAATCAGCTTTTGATAATTCTGCCCTAAAATCCATTTTTAACAAGTTCCCCCCTGAACATTGCACTTTGACAAACACCTTCCTTTGCTGTTGCAAACTCTTCTATAAACCCAAAAATAAACTGACAACTTTTTACTTTGTATAACTTTGTGCTGCATAACAGAAAGCATATATTTGATAAATATACCTCAACTTTTGCAGGAATTGTGTCAACTTCCCAATATTGTTATTATCTGTCTAATGGACAGGTGTTTTTCTCTGGAGACGACCGTGTACCTGAGATGTTGATGAGGGTGGTGTCCATTTTACCCCCTTTAGGAGGAATAAAGCTCTCAATGAAAGTGGGGCCTCCTGTTCGCCTCATCCTCGATAAGCTGACCTTCACAAACTCCAGGTTGATGCTCAGAGAGTCTTTCCTTCCTGTCACTGAAGTCGACTCCTCATCCACGGTACCTTCGGGAGGGGGAGGAGATATGGGTGATGGGATCAGATGGCATGTAATTGTTTTACATCAATCCTATCTACAAGAGGTGCATTTATTAGTGGATAAAATGCAGTCCTGTATCTTTAACAGATAAGAATAACACAAATGTTTAGCATACCTAACGGCCCTTGGCCCGGAGGCAACCCCGTGACTGCAGACTTCTGCTTTCCGGCGCCGTAGGGGTGGAAGACGTAGAGGGAGAAGTCAGACATGCAGGCTGTAAAGCTGAGGCCCGAGGAGTTACTCGGGGGCCCGGTGAGGTCGGACTGGCTGCTGCTGTGACGGCTTCTGCCCAGAGGGCTCCCCAACAACGGAGATGCTGGAAGGGGGCAGGAGAGACAAAAGAAATCATCCAGTCACACACTCATTAACAGCACTGTACACTTGTGATATATATAAGTCTAACATCCTCTAATGCATTAGCACTAACACAATTTCAGGATGGAAAGGAGTCAGCTACCAGCTATCCAACCTGTGCATTTAGTGACTCACAGATTTCCAAGACCTGAGATGCATCTTAATATGCATCATCTGGCATAAAGACAGACTGGAGAGAAGAGTAATGAATGCAGGAGAACATGCTGCGAGCAACATTAACTCACACAGGGCTCAGACATGCCATGGAGTGGCAGCTAATAGATATTCTCACGGTGTGCGAAAGACTTTAAAAGACTGTTTCGTTCACGTATCTCTGCACACATTAGAGCGCCATTATTCTGCCAATATAAACGGGGAAGTCATGTTCTAGATACCTTTGCTGGGAGGTGGTTTGGGGATATGCTGCCCGGGTGGAGTTGAGGAGGGCTGGTGTGACCCGTCTGTCACATGAGCTCCTGTCGGGGTCTCCAGTTCTCCACGGTTAGAGGAGAAGACCAGGTCTAACGAGGGCAGTTTGAGCATACACTCCACCCTGGACATTGGCAGGCAGCTGAAGCGGATCTGAGAGGGCTGGAAACAGAAGACAGTAGATGTTTTCATACACTAAAATTCTCATTGTAGTGTAAATTTATGACTTGTAATTGTTATTTGTCATAATACTTTCCTTGTGCTTTGAGTTTTTTCTTACATGTAACACATTAATTATTATTTATATAAACAGTCGACTTAAATTCCAAAGCAGCTCTGAAGAAATTGCACGAATGACAGCTCATCAGTACCTGGACTCTGACGTAGACAACCACATCCACGGGGAAGGAGGAGTATGCCGACGTTGAAGAGGAAACCAGGGAGGTGGTCGATTCCTCGAGCTGTTCCACTGTATCAAACTGACCCATGTCTTCCTCCTGGGATGCCACAGCTGATGGAAAGACATCAGAAGAAGTTTACTATGAATATCAAGACACACAATTCCTCCAAGAACACTGTCCCAAAGGACTGGTTTTAAAACACACCTGTGTAGTTCCTGTCCACTGGAGTGATAGGAATTGTCTCAAGTGCTTTTTCCAGAAAGTCCAGCAGACAGGGGCTGATCACCATCTCCTCTGGCAGGGTCTGGAGGGCCACCCAGGCATACAGCTTGGCCGTCTTTACCCCTCCACTGCTCTTACCTTTAGCTGCAAAGACACATGAAAGTTAAAGTCATCTCCACGCTAACAGCACTTTCAGAAGTTTGTTTCTTGAACTTCAAATAAACTGGAATCATATTAACAGAGGTTCTTTTAAACTGTCTTTTTGAGTCTCTTCCTCTGTGGGGCGCATCAATATGCATGAACCCGTTTGATCAAAGGGTGCCCTCTAGAGCCATGCCTTTAAAAAAATAAAAAGGGATGGAATCGCATGCATTTGATTTGGACGGTCCACGTGTAGATTTAAATCATCGGATCAAAGAGGCGTGGCACTTTAGTGTCGGCGATTATGGATGGTAGAAGGGCATGCAATTAAATGAGGGAATGCTCAGTACCTGATGGAATAGGTGGGGGCGGGGGAGGTAGGAGCGAGTTAGTCTTGCTTTGGACAGCATTGGGAGGATTTGGAGGGCCGCTATCTTTCATACCATACAGCTTTGACTCTTTGGAGAGAGTGCGAGGGAGAGAGGATCCACGCGAGGCGTTGGGTGACTCCGTCTTCAGGGTCTTTGAGTTGTAGTGCAACTGCAGGGAAAAATAAAGGAAAAAATCATTATTTAAAGCACAAAAAAAACCCTTGGCAGTTTGGATGATGTAGGAGAATCTGACCTTCACGTCCACTCCTGGAATGTAGAAAACTGTAGTCTCCAAGTCATTGGATTTGGTCGGCAGAGTGGAGGGACACTTCTTTCCAGCTAGGAGATGGCTGGAAGAGGGGTAGTTGGGCTGGAGCTTCTTCTTCTTGGGAGGAGATTCTTGGTCCAGGTTTCGGAGGCTGCGCTCACAGCTCCTATAAAACCCAAATTACTGATCTGAATATAGAATGTCTCATTTCTTCTGTCCAGTGAGGATAAATCATCACAGCTGTTCAGGTACTTCTGCTAATATAGAGTCTGATTTAATCTACGCTTAATACTACATTTGGGAGGAAATGTGAGACCAACTTTAAATAGGAGTTTGCATTTCCCAGATTGAGAAATGAACTTTTTACTGCACCTCCTCAAAGAAACATCCTCGTGCTCGGGCTGTTGAGTAGTAGGGTGAAGGACGCACTTCCCGCTGTCGATTTCCACACGGACATCCAGCTCAAAATCGATGTTTCTTTCCGTCGTTGGGCCACTGAAGCTGCGGTTGGCAGGAGTGCCTGGCCAGCGCTCACTGAACAACTGACTCACAGCAGAAAAGCCCGAGGACTTTCTCTGAGACGTTTGGCTGAGAATCAGGGAGGACAGCACCGTTTAGTGAATGCTGAAAATTGAAAAGCTTTTCTTTTTTAGACAAAAAAGAAATTAATGGCGCTTTCTTTTCTTAACTGTCATAACAAGTACGCCTGCACTGACAAACGCAATAAACTCACACAGGCCTTCGATAGCTCTGCTGTCTGTCATGCTCGAAGTCGTCCTTGTCCGAGTCTTCCGAGGAGGAAGAGGACAGGTCATCGCGCCTTATGTCGTCATGCTGGAAGGGAAGTGTGGGTGAGAAGACAGCAGGGGTGGCGGGGGCACTGAAAACTGAGTGATGACCATCGACAACAGATAGGGGATGGAGATGGAGGTGATGAGGATGGGATGAATCGTCAATGGAGACTGTCGACAGGTCCCCCTCTGACTCCTCAGGGAACTTTAGAAAAGGACAAAAGGTCAAACTCACACAGGAAATGGTTTAATGTCTGTCTAAATTTGTTCCTACATGGAGACATCGATCCAGGGAATCTGAGAGCTGGAGCTGATGTCTTCAGCAGAAATCCACCCAAAAAAGGAAGTAGTGTTCTGTAGACTGGACCTTATTAATTCGTTTAACTGATCAGTTCTGAAATTTGTGTTTACTCCTCAAATCAAATTTAATCTTTTACTTCTGCACGTCCAGAGGCAGAACACTACTCCCTGCAACGGTTCACCGAGGAGCTCAGAGGTCATGCACTTTCTGTGAAGAGGAATGACAGCTTGAAACAAAGGAAGGATGAGGATGAGAAGATGACATACCCCGTCTCAAGATGGTGACAACAGAAAAATGCCCAAGAAAGTGTAGAAGTATCCTTATGACAGCCAGGGACAAAGCCCATTTGTGTAGGGTCAACAGATCCCAAACACACTGACAGAGGTGAGCATCAGTTAAATTAGAAATAATCCATCTGCGACACAAATACTCCTTATAGGACAATATAGAGTTTTATATGAATGTGGTATTGATTTATTGAGCAAGTCTTGTTCTTTCATCAAAGAGTTAGAGATTACTATTATTTTTTAATTAATATCAGGATTATTGTTATCAATTTCACCGTTAATGATTTTATTGAAAAAAAAAAAAGAGAAAGATTTACACTCACCAAGAAAATAACACAACTGCACAACAGATTCATCACCATTCAGTTACAGTGCTGAGCAAATAAACCCAACGAAAGCTCCTTTGGGAGATTAAATAACTCATGTCATCAAAGGAATTTTGATTACGCTATTGACGAATATTTTAAGTGGCTACAGGTTGCTTGGCAACTACATAATAAGGTCACCATTTCATTATAAGACTTCAATCTCTTGGTTTTGTTAAAATTAAGTAAAAATAAATGATTTTTTTTAAATAAAATCATCTTTTATGATGGATTATGTGACGTTCACACATGCCTGTGACCACCTGTTTAACCCTAAAATTTCACTGGACTTTTTAAAAAAATTGTTAATAAGTAATTAAAACAGTCGGGTAGGGGGAGGGAACTTTCTTGTGGCTTCTGAAGAGAGGATTGTCTGAAAAAGTTTTGGGAGCCACAGTTATGAAAGTTGTTTGCAGTTTATGTTTGCAGTCACGCCCGCAAATAATAAGCAAGTTTTCTTATATAGTTATTATTCTCCTCAACACACATGACTGCCGTCTTCACAGTATGAGCCACAAATGCCGCTTCAGGGATGTGGGGTTAAAGAGAATGGATTCTTTTCCCCAGAATGTCTGAGTTATTATTTGTGATTGTGGCATTTTAAAAGGTAAACTGGTGACTTTATATTAAACGTATTATTTATTTTATCCTCGTGAAGTTTTTGGTATTGTTGGGGGCGATTAAGGACCTGCTGTTGTGACAAACAAAAGCCAACAGACTGTGACTCAGTGGCCACCCATGCATAGTTGTTAGAAATCACTCAATATACTAAGGTTGAAAAAAAGAAAAAAGATGATGGATTATTTTATGCAGTTTCAAGACAGGATGAGTGTGTGTGGGGTGTGAAACTATAATTCATTAAGCAGCAATTCAACTGTAAAGTGTTTTTATTCTGCAAACAATTGATTTTCTGAGAACTTTCTTGGGTTGAGGTCATTCTAAATAAAAGCAGGGATGAATTGCTGACTCTCACACTCAGCAGCTAAGGGAATAGTAGGTTTTATTATAAATCCGGATGATCCTCATGCACCAGTAATAAATCAAAATCTAACTTATTATGCAAATGAATGTCTACTGCATATAGCCGAAAGTTCCCGTCTTATCATCCTGTTTTGATTTTGCATATTCAAAATCCTGTCAGCACTGTCAAGGTAATCACAGAGGAGAGGAGGAAACAGAAGTTTTTGATCAGCGTTGGTTATGTATTTTCATTTTTTAAATTTTATTCTTGGACCATATACCTTGAATATATCTCCTGGACTGACAGGTGCAGACTCCAAAGCCTGATTATTAATCTTTAATTGGACAGAAGAGTTATTTTTAAAACAAGAGTTCATCCCTCTGTTTCTACTGCAACATACTGTACAAATCAGCTGTAACAGAGATCAGTTATGGTAACAAACAAACATGTAAATGATGGATGAGATGCAGATGATCGCATATAAAATTGCACAAAACTAAAAAAACAAAAAACAGAATATTGATTTGTTTGGAAATGCTTTAATTTATAAATAAATCAATTAAGAGGTACAATGCAATCTATTAATGTGCTACAGCAATGGATATCTGACACATGAAGAAGGCAGGCTTACCGTGTCCTGGATGTTGAAGGTGACCCGTGGTGCCGGAGAGGACACGTCCACACGGATATCTGGGAAATCTGCATCCACATCTCCGATTCTGGAACTGAAGCCAACATTGTGAGAATCTCATTTTTATTTGATTTTGTTTCAGAACATATGGCATTTAATCAGCCAACACTTGTCAAAGCCCGGCCTGTTATTAGTACGATTCATTTCAAGTCATTGTTGAGCATTTGTTGACCCCTCCAGAGTAAATATTTTTCTCCTGTGAAAGGTCTGAACTGCCTGAATATCAATACTACATTAATCCTGAGATAATCTGCATAATTACTAGAAACAAAATGCAATGAGCACTTCCTCTTCACTACATTCTAATTTGTGAGTCACTCTGTCCCTCTTTGTCAGCAAGATAATGGGAAAATGTTTGAAAAACATAATGGCAGCAGCAGCAGCAGCAGCAGAGAAGTGAGACAGAGGTCACATGGTCCTGTTTGTTTACAGTGAAGCTCCCTTAATCGTGTCATTTCTATGATAATCTGATACCAGGGAAGGTGCCTCCTGCTGCCCTTCTTTGTTACCTTTGTCTGTCCATCCTTTTTAGAGGTGGCCGGCCTGCTGCCGCTGAGATGCTTTTGGAGCGGTTGTAGCTTGGTTTGTAGCCAAGACCCCACTTATCCTTTAGAGAGGCCGCCTGGGAAAGAACAAACACAGCTACAAACGGGTCCATAAAAGGATAAACATGACCAACACCCTAGCATTATTTCATGCCATTTTAAGTTAAGGTGCTGTGGCGAATGCACTTCTACTCGGGGAAGGTAAAGAGACGGGGGATTCACCCTCATGCTGGAGCGACGCAGCTTCTTTCTGACATCTCTCCTGATGTCTTTGACGGCCACAGACTCCAGCTGTTGATAGCGCTGGATCTCCTGATTGATGGTTCCTTCGCTGGCCCCCAGTTTCCTGCGTTCGTAAGAAGAGGACACAGCTAGTCACTTAGTTGTTGCAACTCTTTAAACAGAACAGTTACAAAAAGCTGGAGTCTTACTTGAGGTCATCGATGACTTTGGCTTGCTCATTCAGTTCTCGGATGTCAATGACCCTTTTTGTGAACTTCCTCCCACGAGCATCAATTATCTGGTTTCCTGACACCATGGGCCTTCTGGGGTCAACCGCCTCCTGTTGCACCAAAGCAGGAAACCAAACACACATGGAAACACACAGATGTGGTTAAACTGATTGACAACTGTGACAAACTTTCTGATCAACAGATTGTGCAATAAGAATCCATCGTCCCGACGTCCCACTTTCTGATTAAAAGGTGCATTTTTGTGATTCAATCATTGGAAGTTTATCTGTAGAATTATCCACACACCAGGAGCCATGTCACAAATAAGAGACACCACCACCACCACCACAACTCCTAGTGAAAGAAGGAAACAAAGCTTTATTGCCAAAGGGAATTATGGGCCACTAATCTACTTCTTTTCACCCATCATTGAAGCTTAATGAGGAGGGCAGTGGAAGCAAATAACACAGCTCAGAATTTTGGAATCCACAGCCTTCATCACTTAAGTGCAAGTGCCTGAAATGTGACCTTGTAAGTGATTCAACCAGCCTGGAGAAAAGTTTAACACTGCGGGCGGCTACATACACAAGCCCAGGAGAGGGGTCTTTGGGTTCTGCCACTGCCTGGTAGGCAAGGAGATGCACAGTTTAAGTAGTCGATGGGGACAGATATGCTCTGAGGCCTGGGGCTGAGGCCCAGGATGTGGTTTACCAGACGCTTCCTTAAGGTCAGCCGAGGGCTGAACTCTGGAGTCTGTAAATAACAGCAGGGACAGGTGAATGGAAAGGTGGAACAGCCTGGGTCAGACTTTGCCTTCTGAAGCTTTTTTATTTTTTAAATGCAAGCCAGGTAGGATTTGTTCAAACGGACTGATGCATTATTAAAGGAATAGTTCAACATTTTAGAAATCCACAAACACTATCCTGTCGACAGCACGATGAGAAGATATCGTAGATCTTACCTGCGACACCACAATGAACAGCAGCTGGTTAGCTTAGTGAAGGAGAATATAGGCAGTCCTAAAGAACCCAAACTAACACATTTTATCAGTTTGTTTAATCTGTGCAAAAACCAAAGAGGAGAAAAAACAGCAATTTGCTGTTTTACTGAGGGGTTACGTGCCTGAGTGTTTCTTAGCTGTGACCTCAATCTTGTGAGGCTGCTGGAAACCAGCAGAAACTCATAACAGCCCCCCAGACAACCCAAACCAATTTGTTTTAGAAGCAGCTTTAGTTATCAACACATTCCCTGTTTTCAGTCTTTGCATCAAACTAAGGTAACAGCTGCTGCTGCAGTCTGTTATCTAATTTACATACACCACAGCGGTACTTATCTTCTCATATTACCAGCTGCAAAATAAGAGAATAGATGCATTTCCCTAAATGTTGAACTTCTTCTTCTGAACCTGCGATACTGACTGGCAGTAAACTCAACAGCTGAATATTCCCACTTCAGTTTAGAGTTTTTCTTTTCACAACTTTCAACACTGGAAATATATATTTTTAGATATTTCTTGAGAACTTTCTGACTTCTAAAGGAGACCATCTGATCTGACTGATGCAACAGCTGCTCGTGTCTCGTTAAAGTCAGGCTGTGAAAGAACGACTGAATCCAGCTGTGGCGGAAATACACAATTACTCTTTAGCAATCTTCCGAATTCAAACGAAACTGTAATAAAAAACGAACTGAGCGGTGTCTGACCATGTGCGTGGTGGGTGACATGGAGTCGGTTTCGTCCTCATCTGAAAGGTCTGCCATGTTCACAGAGTTCAGATCGGCGATGTCGTCTATGTCCTCCTCGCCCGTCAGGGACGTCAGCGTGTTGCCCAGAGCGTTGAGGCGCTTGCCGATATTGGGGTCCATGTGAACGGCGATTCCACACATCTTCCAAAGCACATTGAGAGTCCAGGTACCAGCGCTGCTGCTTTCTGTTTTGGTGAAAAGGAAGCCAGGAGTGAGAGGGAAAACAGTGGATGATGTTGGGAAAATTAATGCAATAAATAATAAAATTTTCCACACAGTCTCAATATCATTGTGCAGCTCTAGGGTGTGATCTATATTTAATAGACCAGAGCACAGTTAAAAGAACTTGCCTGCAGAGGGCTGCCCTGTAGTCCTGGAACACACTTCATATGTACCGTCAGGGACTACACCTGCACACAAGTACATACAAACAAATATCTTTCATGATCTCTATAGAGACACACTGACAGTCTTCTTCTGCCCACTAGCTCACAAATCAAATGTGAACGGGCTCACACAGTACAGAATTTGTATTTGAAATGGCTTTCTGCAACACTTAGATAAAAACATTTGCATAAACTGTGTTACTCACAAGCATTCATGACGATGTCTCCCCGGACTTCAGGCTTCCAGTCGTCCCAGGAGATCTCGAAGCCCTCGGCAAAGCGGATGCAGAAATTTTTGAAGTGTCCTTTACTCACCAGGGACTCGGAGGAGCAGGCGGTGATCAGTGTGCTCTCGATGGTCAGGACCAGCGCAGAGCCCGTGTCAAAATCTATGCTGTGATTGGCCTGGTGGAATGGCAGGGAGAAAGGTTACTCTGGCCTCAAGGGAGAGAGGAGAAGGGGGGAGAGTACAAGGAAAGGCAAACCACCTCCATTTGTTTGGAAAAGGAAGCGTTGGCAACACTTCATTCTGTACAGCTGTCATCAACTTAACCAAATATTAAGAACAATAGCACAATGGCAAATGATTGCACATTAAAGGGGATTTGCTATGCTTATTTCCAGCTCTAAACATTTTAGCTTGGACTCTAGATTATACATGATTCACGGTACAAAACAAATAATCCTTTTTACACCTTTCTGGCCTCTGTATAGTCTGTCTCCACACAAGCTGGTTTAACACCCTTTGCACCGTCTCTTTAATGCATCTTTATTCTTATGGCCTAAAACTCACCAACGGAAGGTTTGAATGGCAGGTGAAAGAGTGGAGCCAGAACTGTGTATCGTAAAGACTGGGCATCATAAAGATCCAAAAGGTCTGAAACTTTTTTGTTTGTTATTTTAGCATGTTTAATATTCAAGTCCACCTGAAAATAAGTCAAAAGCTTAACAAGACAGGTCCACTTTAAAACCTTCGAGGGAACAAGTTTAAGTGCTACTGACATAAATCTATCTCTGAGTGAAGTGTTACCAAGCTCTTCAGTACATTTCAAGTTCAAATGCAGAAAATCAGTGATTAAAGAAGAAAACAAACAAACAAACAGAAACCCACACATCCAAATTACATGAATTTGATTAACCTGACATTAGTCCCAGAATAGCAGTCTGATCATTATCATTAGGAAAATACATATATCTGTATCTGAACTATTTACTAGCCCATTTCAATCAGCTGGATGAAAATAATCAGACCACAATTTTGGGGCAGCTATTACAAGATCCCAGATATAAGCCAATGCAAAATACCACATGCATACAAGCGTAGAGAGAGCCCACCATGTGCAACACTGCACCTAACTATATTCTTAATCTAGTCTCGCATATAGAAACGTACATAACTTAAAAGCACTCACATAATCAATACTCTGGATACCAACAGGCATAACTTTTATTATGAAAACACACCTCAAACACCAGCCCAAGCTTCACTACTTGTTATGCCGCCGTTAGAGAAGCTTTTTTTAAAACCACAAAGCACCTATGATGCAGTATACTGCAGTGTGACAGGTTTTATAGAAGAGCGTCACTCAGTATCAGTCAACACCTCACACCAAGCCATCCCAAGAGATGTAATAAACTTTTGGTTACTTTTCGTGCATTTCTTTGCTGGCCTGCTGAAGAGCTGGCCCCAGCTTCAGAGTTTGTGCCCTCCGTAACTGGTTCTTGTCCTCTCTATGGAAATAAGTGTAACATAACTGTCTGCATCTGAAATCTTTCCAATCCTAGCATGCAAAGTGGAATAAGGATAATTCAAACTATGATGAATGAGTACAGTAAAATATAGGACTCCCAATATGCACATGCACATGTTGACTTAAAGTAACTGTGAGGAAGCCTGTGTGTTGGGACTGTATACAGATTTACAGCAATTGTTGAGGAGGCACTGACATAAGATGTGATAAGAGTAGCTCAACATCACTGAACAGTTCTTAAGGCTGTTAGTTTGGCATCAGTCTCACATGCCTGCAGACTGGTTGGTGTTGAGCTGGAAATCTCCCGAAGCCAGGGAAAAATGTGGATTGTCTAACCAGTTAGCAAGTGTTTTTGCTGCAAGTTGCTGGCTGCTGCTTGGTGGGATCAGCAGCCTTCAAAGTAAAGACAGTGTCTTATGACTGAAACCAACATGTTTCAACATAAACTAGTTTTACTTTGAAGGCAAGCAGTCTGCATTTCCAGTTTACCTACTGCTACACTAGGTGAGTGAGTATTTGCAGACATAGGAAATCAATGTCTTCCATGAAAACTACTGCAGATTGTGGCATCTACTAGCAATCAGTATACTAGTAGATTCATCAGTACATTCAAATGGAAGCAAGCCATAGAGCCACAAGCAGAGCACCTTGTTGGGGATTTTTGTTTTTTATAACTTTTCAAAGTGTGTATTTCAAGTCAGCATATATTAAAACTTTTACAAAACAAAATAAGTTGTGCACTTTATATCCTAAACCGAGCTTAAAAATATATAAGATTATTTATAAGAAAACAATCTAACGCTCAAAGGGACTGACCAATGACACTTGGGAGACTCAGTCATAGCATATTACCTGAGATGTGTTGGTAATTGGCAGGCAAATACCCAGGTCATTGACTGTCAGTTGCAGAAAGAGGGTGCTGAATGCCTGGGCGGAGGTCTGTTGAATGCCTGGCAGCTTATCCACCACTTCTTTTGTGGCCACGTGAATGTCCTTGTTGAGGGCCATACGCTGCTCATTCCAGTTGTCATATGCAGCTTTGTAGTTTAGCCAGAAGAGCACAGCTGCAGAAGAGCACAGTGGTGGGATGAATAAACATTAAATAAGATCTCACATGTCATTTAAGTAATTTATATCAAATTTTGAGATGCTAAGGAACCAAAAACTCCAAATATGGATCTAAATAAGGAAAATCTGTTTTTCCCAGAGCTTAAATAAAATCACACACCCATCCCACTTTACCCACCAGTGTTGGAATTGGCATCAAAGTGTGAAATAATGTTACACAGTATAAAAACATTAAAACCTATACTTTATACTGTTGATTGTTCAGTGTTACCCAACAACATTAATAGGAACAGAAAGTCTTTCTCCAGTAATGTCACCTAAATATGTCAGCTACATGTCTGAGTCTTATTAAACCAGACTAAGTAAGACTGACGGAGTCATCTTAACAGACAGACATGTTTCTAAAATTTCTACAAAGTGTTTGATGGGTCAGATTATTCAGACACACTAACAATGAATAATGTATAATGGGAGTTTGACAAAATGTTAACAGAAGCTGAAGTTCAGCAGGTGCTTCCAGCTGTAGATGTTTTGAGTTTATTACATTAACTGCAACATCAGTTAGTAGCAGCAACTTTTAAACACATGGAAAAGAAGCAAAAACTTAATCACTTGGAACAAATTATCCCAGACAGGTTTGATAAGGATCCAACAACACATTACATTGTGCTCTTTCCTCACATAGTCACAGCTTTTAAGCTGCCACATCCATTTACTAAACTTTATTACACGTGTATACACACACACACACACACACACACACACACACACACACACAGTCCCATAATTTCATAAAGGACATGCCCACTCTAATTACCAAAGTAACTTTAACAATAAAGCTGCCACGTTAAGAAAAGTCAAGGATAACGTATCACCCGCTGTACTGCATTGTACATAATGAGGCTTCTGATCCTGCTTCAGTCAAGAAAGCTGTGAGAAAAATCATCACCTTTAAACACAGATTAAATATCATGCAGCCCATGTTTTAAAAGACCTATACACCAAAGATAGAAAAGAAGGAATCCTAACCTCTGTCGAATGCCACGGGCTGAGCGAAAACCACTGGCCTGTTGAGGGTGATGAGAACAGCCTCTTTGTCAGTGGATCCACTGATTTCCTCCTGCAGAGCATTCCGCAGACCAATCCGAGTTTGGAAGTATGCCACTTGGTGGAAATCCGAGCCAGCTTCTTCATACACCTTTAAAGTGAAAGTAAGAAAAGGAATCAAATAGTCATCTATTATCGTAGGATCTACTGTACAATAGAAAGCGTCTTGAAGCGACTGTTGTTGTGATTTAGCGCTATATAAATAAAATTGAATTGAATTGACTTCATCTGATACGATAAAGCACGGGATGAACGGGACCTGTTAAGAAGTGAGGATTCTGTGTCTGTATGCTGAGTAAGACGAACTGCTTGAGAATACGTGCAGGATTTCATTTGTACCTGGTGCTTGACAATCTGTCCAAGGGCTAGGTTGAGGTCAACTTGACATTTTCCAAAGAGTTTCAGGTAACTGCTGCTGCCTCCAGCCTGAGCCTTGCACTGGATTCTGTTGGACAGCTCGAGCTCAATCAGGCCCGTCTCAAAGCGCACGGCTCGCATGGAGGGAGTGGTTGCTGTCATCTGGATTCCCTGTGAACACGAAGACAACAATAAAATCTCCACAGAGAAAACTTGAACTGGTTTCATCCCTTCAAAACAACACAAAGCTTCTCCCAAAGAGAATAATTTTGCATTTCTGAAACAAACTGAACATCAGATACCTTGAACCTGAGGCTGAGAGAATAAAGCAGGATTTTGGGTTTGTCTGCATCTGTTGAGGTGTCGTGCTCATTCCAGAGTGGGATGGGTTGTTCTCCTCCTGGCAGAACAGAACACACACACCTTACAGGTCACACACAAGCTGGATAAAACATAGCTGAATTGTGGCAATGTGGACCGGGGGCAGATGTGCAAGTATTAATCTGCTGTAGTCTTCAATTGCAGCTATTCCACTTTAATGTGCCTCCATCGTTATTCTTTTCTCTAAAATGGCAAAAAAAACAAAAACAAAAACCTACCACTACTCTTTCTGTTGGGCAATTATATCAATCAAGCCTGGTGAGCTTAACAAAATACTATCAATAATGTGGAAATAAACAAGGGTGGATTTGTAGCAGTGCATCGGGCATTGATATTTGAGGAAAAACGATTTTTTAGCAACTTAAGCAGCAGCTGTAGGATACAGGATGCTGTGGGGAAAAGCCAGATGTCTGAGATTAGATTAACTTTATTGATCCAAGAGGAAAGCTCGGCTGCTGCAGCAGCACAGAGGATACAGTACTGTAACGTGTTTGTGATTCTGGTAAGTCTCTAAAAATGTAAAAGATAATAATTAGAATAATAATGAAAAACCAGAAGGTTTACGTTACATTACCTGACACTTTCTGAATGACCTCGTTCACTTCCTTCATGAAAACCTTCTGCAGAAAGACCAGGTGGTTGAGCAGGTCTGTGGTCAGGTTGTGCTCAAAAGAGCCAATCTGTGCACGAGAGAAGACAGTGAACACAAAGATTAGTTAGATGTTACAAATAACAAAACTTTAAAGATTTAAAATGCAGATCGTAAATCAACAGGCCTTTAGTTAAAGCACCTGCTGCTATAACTTTTTTACCTCAGCTACACATCGCAGGTAGTTGCCCTGCAGGTAGTTTCCTTGTTTTGCTGGGAAGTCGTCTGGTGCCCAGCCCTGGTCTGAGTGACTATCGTGTTCCTCCATGATGTACTCTCCCGACATTGTAACCGGCGGCAGCGTGAGGCTGGCTGATGGCGACATAGTGTGCTGGGACATGTCCACCGGGGACACTTTTGATTGGAAGCAAAGTTTGTGGTTCGGCAACTCAAACGTGAAACTGGTTTGTGCTCCTAAAGACAAGTTGGTGAGAGAAGGAATATCATGACTCATTAACCTCAGCAAATTGGTACAAAAGGCTGGGAGGAAAACGATTATTTTAAATAAATATTGCAGAAGTTTGTATCAGATATATTTTCACACACCCGTCATGCCGTGGCTCTTCATGCGGCCCATCTTGTACTCTGCTTTCAGTGATGGGAGCAGGGCTGCGCCAATGGTGATGCCATCCATCATGGCGCTGAACTTGAGGACAATGGGCTTCTTCTCCAGGCCTTCGGGAAGCTGAGGGAACTCGTTGGCCTCGACAGGGGTCTGGTTGATGCTGGATGCTTTGTCAGTGGGTTGCGGGGTGGGGGTGTCCTCCCTATTAGGAGGTTGGCTGTTAAAAAACATAAAAACAATTACTCATGAGGTCAGGATTGCATGACTTTCTACTTTAGCTGCAACTTTGGCTTTTAAAGTATTACATAGCCTTAATCCCGCTTACATCCATCAACTTCTTTACCGCCTTTTAAATCCCTTCTTAAACGTTCTTTTACTGCGAGCTGTTAATGAATGTTTGCTATGTGTTTATAAATGCCGCCTTGTTCCCCAATACCGTGTTTGATTCTTTTTATAATCTCCTCTTGTTAATATTTCTGTTTTTCTTTCAGATGATTTAATTACTTCCATAGGATGAGACTTTGTTCAAAAGTGGAATACTGATAGAGTTTATGTTTATTATTATGTGTGCTGTGTTGTCAGGAGGGTGGCTGGCTGTGTGGGTTTCCTCCCACAGTCAGAAATGTCCATGTTAATTAAACTGATGATTCTAAATTGGCCGCCAGTGTGTGGGTAGATACAGTGCTTAAGTAGAAAGTAAAGTGTTTTATAAATGTGTGTGGAAATCACTGATTGGTCAGTGAGACTAGAAAAGTGCTACATAGTTACATGTTCAAGCGATGATGTAATATGTTAATGTCTGGACTGGATTTGGGAAGCAGCTCCTCCGATTTATCCACCCAGCCTTATGAGGTAAACTGCGTTGAAGGAAGCTGCACATGGAAAAGTCACTGCTAATGCTTTGATTCAGTTATGTGTGTGTTATTTTTCACAACTCTGCAGATACTGACTTCCATTCCAGCGAAAATCAAATTATAGACAAGTTCTTTAATACCCAAAGCACACCTACAACTCTATAAATATATTAACATAATTCAGCATATTACCATGGAAACAGACCACACACAGGTTTTAAAGGCGGGCGACAGTGTGGACCTGCTGTAGTAACGTGTCTGTTTAGTAGACATTACGAACTGAATGAGTAAACATTACACTTCAGAGACAGCACGTGTTGGATGGTGGATTCATTTATGGTTTCAAGTTGAGCACATTTTGAAATTGATTACTTTGAAGTGGGGGGAAAAAAAGCTGTGAGAAAAGCTGAATAGGTGAAGCGGACGTACGCATTAGAAGGCTGGCGGATGAGGTCGGAGATTTGCTTGGAGAGCTGATGGGAGCTGCGGACCATCATACTGTGCAGCGTAGCCGGGTGTTGGGGAATGTTGATCATGATGGCCCCCACTTTGAAGACAGCAGCGTTGTTGGTCTTCAGACCCCGCTGGGCGCTGTACAAGGCCTGAGACTTGGCGATGTTGCATTTGACCACCGTTCTGTAAACACAGAGGAAGCCGGAATAAGCAGCGGAGCAAAAAAAACTCAATCATAGAGAAGACGTAGACTTATGAATGAAGGTGGGGTTAGACACCAAACAGTGAAACACCATGCAAATTCAGGACTGCAATTATTTGTGTGTGCATTTTTGGTTTTTGGTTTTTTTAGGGACGTAATGAGCGGTTATGGTAGTGACGCTATGAATGAATAACAAAGAATGTACGGTCTGCAAGCCTGGCTGGCTCAGCTAAAGGAAAATGATATCGTGTGGACTAAATATTAATAGACTGCAGATTTTTATCAGATTGATGACATTAGAAGAGAACATGGATGCTGTAAACAAATACAAGAAAGTTGAATAGATAATGAGACACCATTTTTTGGCTTCAGCGTCTCAAAAATTTAGTTTTTCTGCTTCTCACTGGTACAAAGAGATACTGCACTGACTCGCTTTTATTTTTCTGACATTTTATAGGAAAAAAAGTGAGATGAGAAAGAAATCAGATGATTTTATGTTTTGGGGAAGAAGAAAAAAAGTCAGCAACAATAATCCACAGGTGGCAGTTGCTTCATTTACACAAACTTAATGGGGACAGATCAGTGTAAATGCTCACTGAAAACAGATGTGGTAAACAGGTGACTGAAACAAATGATGGATGTACATTTAAGGAAGTTATGCTTTTGGTTTAATGAGTCCCCTAAAATGCAGCATAAACATACAGAAACTCTTGTTTAGCAGTGCTGGTGGGAGATGTTGGGAAATCCTCCAGTCTAGGCAAGTAGTTGGAAGAGAAAGCAAATTAAAAAAAAGAAGAAGAAGAAAGTGTAAAATAATTTGAGAAACTTGAAGGTCAGAGCAATTTTTCACATTAAATGTACTGTTAAAATGTTTTAGAAGTTCAGACGTTATTTATGATAAGGCTCTGGATTAACAAAGCAGTTAAAACACAAAGATGAGCTCAGGCAGCTCAGAGAACCACAGCTGAACATACTCGTAATTAAACTGCATCTAGGAGGCAACACTAAAACAACAACTTCTGACAAGCCACTGATATGTCAGACACCATTGTTTTGTTTTACTTCTGCACTGGGACCTGCTGTCTTCGCACACTGTTTTTGCTTGAGTCAAAAGGACAAGAGCCAAAATAAGCAATCACAGTAACAACTCGAGAATGCTACTGTCTTGGCCACATAAATTTAAAAACAGGCAGAGTGTGCAGGTACATTATGGAAACAGTATTAGGTCTCAGTTTTATTTTCACAGTGGGAGGATTTCTTTAAGTAAGCCATCTATTTATGTAATAAACTGAATCAAAACAGTGTGGAGACACACTGGCCTGTCTAAAAGCATAAATACAAGGCTTGCAACCTGATTAGGTTGGCTACCTTTTGAGGAAATTGCTTGCAGTAAAAAGAAAACATAATAAAATTAACTGGCTGGACAGGAGCCTGTAAATAGTTCTCACTGAGCACTAACACAACCATGTTTTAGAGGGCTTTTAAAGGTGTTTATGGAGTTTATACTTAAACACTCAATCAACTGTTTTGATAAGAGTACATTTTGCAAAAGTTGTTCACTTTACAAAATTGTGATTAAGAATTAAAAAAACGACACATTTTTAAAGAAAACATTCAAACTAATAGAAAAGAAAAACACTACCACCTGCTGAATTATTAAAAAAGAAAAAAAAACATTACAATGAGAGAGAGTGAGGATCAATACAGTTAAGATCAGACAGGAACAAAGCACTTCGATTAAAACGCTTGGTTTCTTTTTAAATAGCTGCTAAAATATTTAATCGACAGGCTGAACAGAAGGAAAGTTTGCACGTACTGAATGTCAGGAGTTATCCCCTCCAGCAGAACGATGTTTACCCCTCCTATGTGAGCCGATGCGCACGTCTCTGTCATTTTCTGGTGCAGAATATCTGCAGGCACAACAACACCAAAAAAAGAGATCAGATCAAACAAACCAAACTTCTACTGACCAGGAACTTCCCTTTTTTTGCACACCTGCATCGATCTACTTTGGGACTTTCTAAAGTTTCATATCGGATCTTTCCTACCATAAAAAAAGATGGCAAAATCATTATCTCTGTCAAAATCCCTGCCTAACCTTTCATCTTCTCCTTCAGGGTGAAACTTCCATGTATCTTCTTCAGTTCTGCTTCCATGGTCAGCCCGCCAATGTCCGCCTCCAGGTGTGTGCGGTTCACCATGCCGATGCCGAACACGATGAGCGTGACGTGCTGAGGCTCGGAGCTCACAAGGCTGCGTCGCCTTCCACCCGCACCGGGAGGCTTGCTGGGTGTGTTGGGGTCCTGCTGCTCATTCTCAAATATCACTTTACAGAACGGCTCTGAGGTGTGACGTCCCGTCTCTGTGAATTTAGATTTACACGTTACATTAAAAACTGCTTCTGTACTTTCACTTATAAAATCAGTGATGACAGACGCACCACTTTTTTTTTTTTTTTTTAATTAAATTGGGAAAGTTTATCCTCCCACTCCGAAGGAATGGTCACTACTTCATAGCCTCCTCTGTTACAGCAGTAAAATATTCTAGTAGGATAAACTGAAATAGGTGTGTCACAAACAGGAGAAATGAATGAAAAGGTGTTTACAAAACAGTGATCATGAAGGAAGTCAGTCAGATTTGCAGAGCATAGTGTGCAGATTATAAGACAGTAACAACCTCTAAAAATAAAGCGAAGAGTAAAGCATAATGAAAAAGGCACAGTTAAGCTAAACAACTGAAATGTGGAATTGGATGTGTGCTGGAAGGGTTTTTCCACCTGAAAGGCAGTTCTCCGGGGAGCTTTTCTCCAGGATGCCAGTGGGATCGGAGATGAGGGAGTAGAAGTTGAGCAGCTTGTACATGTTCTGCCAACATTCTGCTGATGGCTCGCTCTGCTCTGACACTGTGATGGAGTCCGAGTCATCCATCTGGATCGCCATGTGGTCGGCCACGTCACGGGACCCTTTCCGTGACACCTGAGGGCATTACGCAACATTCCAGATTATGAAACAGAAAGTAGACGTGCCACAATATGCATCGTGGGGCTGAAGGGTAAATAAACAGGCCTGCTGACTCATTCCTTATTTTATTACCCCGTTGTTTACTCTGACAGTATAGTTATGATGCAGTAAGCTGTCACGACAGAGCCACTTAATGAAAGCTAAAAACAGACACTTGTGAAATAAGTGTCAGGGAGGTGACTCAGTTATTTCAGGAGAGTTCCCTAAGAGGGGAAAATACTTCAAATGTATCTCATACATCATTTACTTTAATAAAAATCTCATTTAAAAAGTGCTTAGTGGCTCAAACTTCAAAGCTCATATTCCAACTTCTGAAACAAAAGAACTTTCACCAAGTCAAACATGTTTGCAAGAAGATTTCTAAAGTTAAAAACTTTTTTGTTTTTTTGAAAACAAAAAAATATTTCTTACTGAAACATCACAGATGTGTTTAAGATACTACTGTCTGTTCTGAGAAAATCCTATAATCTTCTGGCTCCCTCTAGGGTTTGTGTGGAGGAAATGTCAGCTGCTGAGTGAATTTAGTGATTCTACTGGTCTGGACAGGTGCGCCTCACAGAGCCGTTGAACAGGCACAAGAGGTTTTCATTTAATTTCATCACAGCCATTTACAGTTACTGCGCAAAGTCTTCATTATGTTTGGCTCCTCAAAATATACACATTACTTTCTCTCCATTGTGATATTTTCCCATCTTGTCCTGTCATGATCATCGTTACCTTGGAGGTGCGTCTTTCTGAGCGTCCGAGGGAGCTGCGTCCTCTCGGCTCCCTTCTTCCCAGCGTGTCCATGCCCGATGGAGGTCCGTTTGGAGGTAAACCACCAGCATTTGCGGCTCCCCCTCCTGATCCTCCACCCACTCCTCTCTTGCTCTTCAGAGTCTGGGTTCCGCTGCGGCCCGCCCCATTCAGGCTTCCACGGGAGCTGCGGCTGAAGTCCGACGACCTGAAGTGGCGATACGGCCGGGCCTTGAAGGTGGGTGTCGGGGAGGCCGAGCCGGCGGTGTAGCGGCTCAGCTTGATGTCGGTCTGCGTGGCCTTGATATCATCGATCATGGTGCTGAACTGGTGGATGAGGCGCACCAGGGCCATGTCGACGCGCTGGCTGATGGCCTGGCAGGCTGTAGTGAAGTCACAGTGGAATGTATTGTAGTGGCGGCGGTTGAGGTCGTGGAAGGAGAGCGGGGCTGCGGTGGGGCCCTGAGGAGCGCTGGTTGACTTCTCCATCACCACGGCATTCACACTGAAAGTCTCAATCAGCAACGCTGGCTTGAACTCAAGGGGAGGCAGGTTCACCATACCTTGCCTTAATATAGAAGAAGCACAAAGGGTTAGCAGATAATTTCATTAAGAGAAGAAACCAAGGAAAAAGGCTTAAAAAGCCAAAAAGCAGGGATGGGTAATGCAACATGTGCCTGTTGTGTTTTAGGACAGTTTTACCTCCTGGATCGCTTGTTTTTGCGCTCCTTGGTGGTATCAGAGTCGGCAATGTCTGCTCTGAGGCACTCGAGGTTGCCGGAAAAAGACAGGTGCTCTCCAAAATACATCTTATAGCTAAGCGGAGTGGTATCTTGGGCCTGGATGCCTGTGTAGCTCAGTAAAGGCTTAAAAACAACCTGAGGGGATGAAAACAGACGATCAACGCACAGAAAAGAAGATATTTTTGTAGACGCTTAACTAAAAGCTTTCTATCCGTCTGACATCTGCGTATGAAATTAAAATAAAACTGTGAAATAAGGAAATGGAAAGCACAATGAATGCCGAACGGTATGAGACAGGTGACATTTATATTAACACAGAATGATTCCTTATCAACAGACCCACTGGATATTCAGCTTTTTCTAACTCGATAAACAAATCGGACTAATTGCAAATCAGTGTGAATTAGCTTTTATCTGCTTTAATGGCATCAACATAAAAAAGCCTAATTTAAAAACCAATTTCTGAACCAGTTCTAAAACTTATCAGTGAGCAGCAGATATCACACAAACTACCTGACTAATTCATGTCTAATTATAAAGTGTAAAAACAGATTTAGAGACAAACCTGAGCATCAGCCAGCTGAACAGCAGCTGGACACTGGTTCCCCTCTTCAATGTCGGCCATGTCGTCCTGGCTCGTGCTGTGCTGGGAATGCTGGGAGTGGGTCCCATCGAGGGTGTTCTGGTCACTGGACAGCACTGTGTTGAAATCTGAGGCCGAAGGGATGGTGGGCAGGTTACACGTCCCACCTGAGGGTGTTTAGCGCAGGTTTAGGATCCACGTGGATTAAGAAAAGCCGGCACACGTACAGGCAGCAGTGAGAGAGCAGAGCACTTTACCACTCCAGCTCCTCATAAAAAACATGTTGGAAAGAATTACACAGACAGCAAGAGAGAACGTTAAGTGGAACTTTACAGCCATTTAATGCACAATTTGCAACTGTAAACAGCCACATCACACTTAATTTGTTTGTGAGAAACTGCTGCAGCTAATTTGCTGTGCTGTCATTGGCTCACACTTGGGTGACTACATAACGACGAACTTAATCATCTTTGGCACAAATCCGATCATTACACACTTACAAATGTATCCACAATTGCGAAGGTAACAAATGTTTTTCAGTCATTTGCATGGCTGATTCCAAGTAATAAACTGCTATTAAGAGAGAGTGAAACAAAATGCAGAGTGCTGCAGTTTGTAGCTTAGAAGATGAGTGGGAGTACAGGGTAACAGAGCGAGGGATAGAGCGGTGTTGTGAGGAATAAGAGAAATTTCAGGTCACTAAACAGAGAGTGTGTTTTGCAGGAAAGTACCAGTGAGGAAACAACATGAGCTTTTCTTACACAGCTTCACGCTGAGAGAGGCTAACAGGCTACCACATGACTTGAGGTGTATAGACTTCAAGACTCACAAAACAAAAAGGAGTCCTAGTACCACATAAAAATAGAATAGTAATAATAATCCTTTAATTGTCCCACAAGGAGAAATTTGGTCTCTGCAATGTGAAGGTTTTGAAAATACCTGAAATAGCACCAGTGGTACAGGTAAAAAGACAAGACACACTGGAGGCAAAGCGTCTGTCTGTATCTTATATATAACTGTTATACAGGTTCATCTTGGCCCACCTGGATTACAGCCCCTTATCTACCCGAACAGAGACATCGTTACATCCTTCCTCAGTAAAAACCTTTACTCCGGCTCCTACTACATCCATCAGAGGACGCTTTTTAGTCGCATCACTGACATTTCAGTCCTACATGTGTTCTGCACTTTGAGACAATGATGAATTCACACTGACCAAGTGGATGTTGCATGCCCAGGCAGCATTTTAATCTAAACCACACAGAGCATTTCCAGTAGTGAGAACACTTGACTTGGATATCTGTTGTGTACTACATGTAAGAAATGGCAACAGGGGCCTGGGCCCCGCCTTGTTTTTCTGATACGATCCAGAATTCAGGTGTGAGAACAGTTTGAGAGGCCTATAAGAACAAGACTAAACACAAGAAGAGACTAGCATGATGAATTTAAATTAATCACTCTAATTGGTGGGAATTCACAACTTTGGAGAGGCAAGAGACAGTAAAGCCTGATGGAGTTTTTAAGAGAACAACGACTCGTTCATATAAGATCATGGAGGCCATGTCTTCCACCCTCATCCAAATATAGGTCACATCTGGCTTAAAAAAAACTAAAAGACAAAACAAAACAAACAGCCAGAAATTCAGAGCTGAGGCTTCAGAAACTGTGTAGAGCCTTTTCTCATTTCATTTTAGTCTCCAATAGCATGCCATACTTTTGTAAAACAAACTGGTTTCTGTCTTCTTTTTTTTTACGAATTTTGCAGACTTTTGTGCTAATTTTGCAAATCGTGCAAAACAAAAAGGTGATGCAATTTCCAATTTTCTTTCATTGCAATAAATCAAAAATATCTCTCTAGTATATATGAAGGTGGTCTGGATGGCTAACAAACTAATGGGGGGAAATCACAAACTAGCTGCTAGTCAGCTAATTAGTTCAACAACACCATCAGCACAGCACTCAGTGACTACTTAGCCCTGACCTCCTTCTGGACTGTTATCTGGCAGCGGTTGGTACTGGTAGCAGGGGTTGACAGAAGAACCCAGTGAGGCTACTGAAACAACATTACAGAAAACTTTGAACTGTTACCGCAAGAGTGAATATGTTAATAATTGTTTTATCTATTCCAATATCATCATAACAAAAATGCATAAAATAGAGCATTATATAGCAAAACAAAATCATCCTCTATTAAGCTCATTGTGTCTCACCTGTCTGTAGACTGTTGTGCTGGGAGCGGTTGACCGGAGACTCCTGGACTCCAGCCCCCGTCTTGTTGCTCACAGCGTTGGACATCCAGTTGTAAAAGCTGACAGAGGAGGGCTCCGACAGCAGCGGGTGCTCAGTCAGCATGTCTGTCCCTAAACAAGGAGAGATTGAGAGTATATTGCATCACGGAACAGACTACAAAAACCTCGACATTACACTTGGATTGACTGCTGTTCATGCATAATTCATCTTTTACAGTCGGCACGTGGATAATGTGTATAAGGAGGTGTTTTCACAATGTTCCCACTTTCACACCTTAAAAACATATTCTAATCTATTTTTTACAGCTTTTATTTCTCATCTTTGTCCTTCTTGGGTTTAAGTGCAAATCTCTCTCTCTACATATTTGTTCACAGTGAGCTGGTGGCGGATTTAAGAGCACGCTGCAGTTTATTCATTACTGACATTGCTGAACAGCAGAGGTCACTGTTGGAACAGAAATGCAACTAGATTGTTTGAAGCTGTGATGAAAATCAAGTTCAAGTTAATGATCGACTTTTACCAGAACCTTCCCCATACTGCAGTTAGCAGCGGTGCAACAAAATAGCAGTCGAGTGTGAGCACCTGTGCGAGTGAGCGAGCTGCTCTTGGTTGCGGTGGCGGCAGACGGCTCGTTCCTCTGGGGCGTGCCCTCCAGCAGATTGTGCAGACTCCGAAAGCTGCCCGTCAGGTTGCTCAGAAGGCTCTCCTTCCTGGGGCTGTCCTTGGCTGGCAGGCCTGCGCGGCTCACATGGGCGGGTGAGTCAGCTGCTGTGTCACCGCTGGTGTAGCTCAGCGACTGGTAGGGATGCGAACCCTGGGTATGACAAATGTACAGATTGCTGAGAGGAGTTTGTGTTCACACTATATAATTTTTTCCTCAAGCTGCCAGAGCCCGTTCTAGTTCAGCGACAGGTGGGATAAACTTCGTCTGGCAACATTATGAACATGGCTGAACCTAAAGCTGAGGTAATACTTTTTAGACAAAAGAGCCGAGTTGTCTAAAAAAGAAAAAAAATACTGTATAAACACATCACACTTTAATTTAGGAGAGAGGAAAATGTCACCTCGTCACTCAGTGTTAAGCTCTAATCCCTCCTGGCTTTCCAAAAGCAGAATCACCTTCATACCACAGTCAAGACAGCACAATCAGTCTGCAGTGGAGAGCTACTACCTTTGCAAAGTGTTTATGTAAACCAGACTATCATTATGCAACCTTGGGTTTTGAAATGTCAGAAAAAATAAAACCAAAAAACAACGACTCTCTTCAGAGAGTCATTGAATCTCTCACGACAACCTAAAATTCCTCATTTCATCCAACCGACAATCCAAACGTGTGAAATCCACAATCTCTGAAGATTTTTTTCATTACAAGAAAGTACGTCCATCTGTTGTGCATCGTCCATCTTTACAGCCTGCTTTGTATACGAATGCATGACATAAAATCGAAACTCATACCTTTATTCTGAGCACAGACTCGTTGTGTGTATGCGACTTGGAAAGTTTCCTCATGATCTCCACTCCGCTCACAGGACCAGAGTTGGCTTCCTTCGGTGGGGGGCGGCTGCATGCTACCTCCAGCAACATCGTGTGTTCACTCACTGTGGCTTAAAAATAACAACACAAAATAAAACTCTGAAAAAAAAATCCTTTAAAGAGGTTGAACAGTCTGTCACTCAACCCCAGAGCTCCTTTCAGCAAACTAGTGGTATCAGTCTATAACACATCTTTGCAAACACTGACAAAGTAAAGGTCAAGAGTTTCACAGCCCATCTGTGGCAACAGATGGGTGCTTCACAATATTATTAGCACTGTGAAAGCTGTAGTTTCCCACCTGCATCGAATTCAAATTCAGCTCCATCCGCGCTGGTGTCACTCTGCAGAGCAGCTCCATTGTCCAGTCCCAAAATTGTGTCACCCTGGTTCTGCTGAGGCTCCTTGGGTTTGGTAAGCTGGTTGGGCCTCATCAGACCAATAGCCTTGAAACCCTGAGTTACCACGATGAATTTCATCCACTGCCTGGCCAATGCTACCAAACCTTTCTTTAGAGTGACCAGGGCTGGAACCCCATCATTCTGGGGTAAAAGGAGAGGAGAGATCAGCGCCACTGTTTCACACTGACAACAGATTCATTTAAATAATGCAGAGAAGACAAGAGAAAAGAGACGTTTGAGGCTACACTACACATGATCATGTTATGATCCTGCAGCAGTGCAACAGAAGAGAAGGGCTCGTACTAACCATAGTAGCTTCCTCTATGACGGAGTAGTCAGCTTGTTGCAGGTAGCGGTGCAGGATGTTACAAAGCATGCAGGAGGGGTTCTCGTGGAGGTAGCGGGCTCGTTTGGTCACGCGGTTGTACTTGCTCCTGATCGGGATGTGGATGCTCTTTTTCTGTTGGGGATTGAGAAATAAATAAATAAATAAATAAAAGCATCTGTTGCTGGGAATTATAACTGTTTTAAATGTTTTTTCCATTATATTAAGCTCACTTAAGAAAATGTTTTGAAATAGCAATTCAACCAGGAGACCCTACACTCCTGATGTATACACATATGTGCTCCTAACCTCCAGAGCCTCGGTCATGATGCAGCCCATGACTGCACAAACACGTAGTGTGCCCTCCATGTCCAGTTTCCGAAGTGACGATTTGAGCTGGTCAATGGGAACCAACCAGGCGCCAATGGCAGGTGTGGCTGTGCTGAGAAGATTCAACTGCCTATAAACACACACAGACACAACAGTCACCTTAATAACCACTGCTCATTACAACCAAAAATATAATCAGACTTCTGCAAAGTTTATAGGTTAAAAGGCACTGCATTTAAATTAATATGCCTGCAACTGCAAGTGGTTAAGAATTGCTTTGTTTCTTTATTTTCTAGTGCAGATGCCAAGCACAGTAGGCTAAATAATGAGGAAATTCACAACTCAACTTAAAACTAAAAGAGAATGACTAATCAGTTTATCGTGCTTCAGGAAGACGATGATGAAAAGTGGCTGACGTAAAGAAAAGAGCTGGTGTGATTTTAATACAGCTTTTCTGTACAGTGTATAGTCATACAGGCATCACAGAGCCCTACCTGGAGATGGCCTGTGAGGCAGACCGCACATTGGTGGGAGCAGCAAAACTGAACCAGATCTCTCTAATGGTCAGTTTCATGCTGCTGGAGTCAGGCGGTGGGGGCATGAGAGGAAGGTCTTTCTTCAGGTCGTCTGATTCGACCCCTTCGTCCTGCAGAGCAGAAGTGAAGAGGATTTAACAGGAGGTAATGGATTTATGGCTCTCCTCCGTGTAGAGCTCCATTTCCTATCACAGATCATTTTTCAGATTCAATAAAATGTATGCAAGGTTGTTGTATCTTTTTTTCTCGTGGGTGAGAAATAAGTTTGACTTTTTTTTTTTGCACATATCTGAACATTAATTTTATTGTTTTAACTTTCATGTGAGCAAAACAAATCTGAATCAGACTGTTGTCCATTAAAGACAGCAGAGCTTTTGCACTTTTTTATGACACTGTTAGCTTGTTGCCTAGTTGTTCAGGATAAACTCTATAGTGATGATACATATCCTGCGAGGAATATGGAAATGAACACTTATCTGACTTTGATTCGGAGCATTAAAATGATTCTGACTGAAATCTATTTTCAGAAATAAAGCCCCCGTGAGGAACCTGCACAGTGCTCCACTCCCTCTTCATCAAGAGCGTGGGGGACAAACTGTAGATACATGTTTTTCACAGCATTTGTTTGTTCCTGCGAGTCTTCCATAAGAAACGGTGCAACAGGATCCTACTGTTTGCTTTTTTTGGTTTATTTTTTTGCCAGATCGGAGCTGATGGCACTGCAAAACAGTGTTTGATTCTGAAGCAAAGTCAGACTGATGCATCTTTTGCCAGCTTCACTCGCTTTTCGGTCCTCGGGCTGTTTCATGCTTCTGCAGAAAAATTTAAGCATCACATCTGGAAACACCTGTCGGCTGTGAAAATTCTGCCTGCCTGCTCAAGCAAGATGAACATGTTGTGTCTTGCTGTTTCTCACACTTCTGCCTTTTAGATGAATATCTCACTTCTTCAGTAACCTCATCTTTTCAATGCAGCTGCCCTTCAACCCCCTTACAAATGCATTATTGTTACAGTTTATGATTTTGGTTAAACTTCCTGTTATGCTGTTTATTACCAGAACCACTTTGGTATCACTCTTTATTGTGCAGTGGCCTATATCTTACTGTCATGGCAATTAGTCGTTTCACCCTAACCAAAAAGCCATCAGAGTTATGCTCATTTTTTAGCCACTTCACAGGTTAGAAGACTTTCTGGTTTCTCACCTGGTCGTCTGAGTCTGAGTGCTCATTAACATCAGAGGCTGGACTGACAGCATCATGTGGGAGGTTGTCATCAGACATATCAGTACTATAACCGCTTCCTGTCTGAGAGCCGGTTGAACCGTTGGACTTTGACATTCCTGTCTTCCCTCCTGCGTCTGAGCGCCCCATCACACCGAACGCATTGTAAAGAATAGCTCCTGACTGACGGCCCCCTGCAAAACAAGTGTAACACATTTATAAATGGCTACAGAAAAGCCGTCATCTAAATCTGAATATTCAGATTTCCAGGAGCAAACTTAGTCAGGATATATGTTTAAGGAGCCTGCATTGACTTACCTTTGACTGTGAGATTCTCAATGCCACATTCAAACATGATCCAGCCCCATTTCTCCAGAGATGCGGCAGAACGGCCCAGATCGCCTGCTGTTGCCTGGGCATCAGTTTCATCCACCAGTGAAAACTCCTCCATTTCCTCCAGGCCAAAGAGAACTTTGGACTTCTCAAAAGGAATTGCTGTGATAGCACATGTGCCAATATCTACAGCTGAAGAAGAAGTAACACAACTATTAGAAAATGCTACAAACCTTATAAAAACAACATGTGCTAAAATCCAGCGAATCTTGATAGCGAAGGTCAAATAAGAGCAAATCTTTCCACATCGTTACACAGCGTTGTAACAAAGAGGTTGGAGTGATGTTCAAATAAGACTTCTGTTCTGCAAAGCCAACCTGTGGAGTCCAGGCCTCGGAGCTGGCTGTGGATTCGGTGGATATTAAGTCTTGCAGCAATCTCTTTGCCTTTCTCGATGCCAGCGTTGGAGCGCAAAGAGCCCGAAGACTGAGGCTGCATCTTAGTGGCTGAAGCGTACTTCTCAAACATGACAGAGGGTCGGCCATGCTCTGTGGTGTTGGGAGTCTCTTCTACAATTCCCCTGAAAGCAGCAGCGGAAAATGTGCATGTTAAAAATCTTTATAATGTAAATTTAGTTGATTTCATACTCTGCACATCTCCTGTTTTCAATAAAACAAAAAAAATCTGAATTGGGTTGAATTCTTAAATCTTACTGACCTAGCACTCCTAAAAAAAATAAATAAAATTTTTTTATTTA